AAAAACGCCGTGAACGGGTCCCTACATTTGAAATCAATGGATTTCTTTCTTTAAGAGGCATCACCTCCCCTCCGACGTGACGGAATACTTTTTCACATTAGACATCACGGGGATTACGATAAGAAATGAGACACTCTCATTCGTTATGTATTCATTAAATTGACTGATTAAAAATAATTAAGGTTTTTATTTTCTCGCTCGTCCAAAACCTCAGTGTCTCTCACCCGCCGCGCTTCATTCGTGTGTGTCTGTCCGCTAGAGATGAGCCACGCCGCGCTCATGACTGTGTACAGCGACAACGGCGAGGAGCAGCTCGCCGTGGGACTGGGAGAGAAGGTTTCCCTCTACTATCGAGATGCAGAAGGCCGGCCGGAGTCTAACAACACCGTCGCCTTCGCCGCGCCCGTCAACGACGGGAAGGTAGTCATGCTCAGGGCTCTGAACAGAGATTTAATTGTGATATATTTCAGAAGTATCTTGAATAATTTAAATTATTTGAGTTCTGGGTTCTGTCAGCCTGAATCACGAAGTCGAAACGGCAATTTTTATTTGCTAAATATGACTTCAATATCGGTGTCTGAATTGTACTATCGTAGTCAGAACAACATAATCCTAGTTAAAACCGGGAATCTATCCCCAAAACTTCTATAGGTCCGGACTCTTCGCTAAAGTATTGTCTTAACATGTATATTTAATCGAATGCGAGACGAACGCAGAGATTGCTGCAGTTGTTTTCGTAACTTGAGTAAAATGTCACATTCTCTTCGTTCAATTCAGAAAATCTAAAGCATTGGAGAAGAGGTCCTTGGAAAATGATAACCTCTTGAACAGTTATAAATACTACCATATTCACACCAGGAGGTTTCCATCCTTATGATTTCGTAAAACCAGCAGCAGTACATTTATGTTATATCAACTATTTATGTTATCTTCACAATATACTTTAAATTTTTATATTTATTTGCCTAGCCAATAATATAGCCAATTCCTTCTTCTTCTTCTTCTTCTTCTTCTTATTATTATTATTATTATTATTATTATTATTTCGCGCCTACTTTTTTTGTCCGCGGTTCTCACGTACAATGTGTTAAATAAAAACCTATTGTAGTCATATTAAAAATAATAATAGTAATAAAAATAATGTATTTCTGGTGAGGCTCAAGCCGTTGGGCCTGCTCTTCCACGTAACATCTTACGTACATTTAAAATATACATAATTACTATTTATTATTGATCACATTGCACGGGAGCACCGCGGACACAAAGTGGGGTGCGGAGTGCCCATAAATTACCAAGGGAATTTCTGGCACTGTAGGTGGCACCGCCTGGCGTTCAGCGTGAAGGGGGACGCGGTGACACTGATCCTGGACTGCCGCAAGCAGCTCACGGAGCCTCTTCCTCGCCCGGCGGACTCCACGCTCAGCACCTCGGGCATCGTGCTGGTGGGGCAGCAGCTCCTCGACGACCAGTTCTACATCGTAAGGCTCATACACCTCCAAGTCCAAACGCCGTTTATGAACCCATGTTCCTCGCACATTCTTTGCGTCAGCCATTGGAGATCCTCTCAAAGTAAATGGTTCCTCTCGATTTCTTTCTTTACTCTTCGTCCTCTTTGTTATGGAACATGTCTTATCCAAAAGTGAGAATGATGGAAAAATACTTTTTTTTATTTTTGCCTTTCACTTTGTCTTTTACTTTCTCAAATACATACGTATATACGGAGTAATATACGTAGTATAGGGAAAGTTATGTAATACTGTTCGAAAAAACGGCGGATTTTCGGCAGACAAATATTCATTATTGAGCGCTGATAACGAAAACGTTTATATATTCAGTTGCTTAATTAAAAAAGAAATATCCTCTAGCACGTGGTGTACCACGAATCCCTGCTCACCGGTCCAAGATACTGAAAAATGAATTGACAGTAACACGTCCGTCTGTGCATCCATCTGTCTCTCCGCCTGTGAACTACTAGCGCCTAAACTATGCATAGATTCTTTTCCAAATTGAAGAAACCCCTATCCATCTGTCTCGAGTAAAAGCTTTGATACTTTAAAAATATTCTGTAAAATTTAGGTGTACTTTACATGAAGCCCTTCAGACATTTTAAAAATTTTCTCAAAAGCGGTTTGAAACTCTCTAAATTTCTCGTAACAATTAAGTAACATACACTTAAAAGTGGCCTAGGTACGATTTTCACGGTTAACTCTGAATTTTCGAAAACTTTTAATTTATGAATTTTGTTCGGCTTCTTACTACAACAAAATTAAAGATAGAGATTTTTGCGAGAGAGAAATTAATTTTTTGTACATAATTAGTTCTTTCATTTAAGTTATGTACATTTTTATGACATGTTTAGTCATTTTCGTGCAATATTGCGTGCAATATTGCGTGCAATATGTGCAATTTTAAAACATAACAAAAACAATGTATTCTCAAACACTGCTCCATTTTTTTCATTAAACTATTTAAAGGATAGTTCTAAATAAACTCTATGAGATGATATAAACATTGTTCTAATCTTTTGCTCTTTTAAAAATTACATAGTGTGAGTGAGACATAACATACTATTGTCTCTGTTCCATGTTCAGACAAGGAACGAAACGGGTTCAGACAAGGTTCACACAGGAGACGTGAGGAATAAGTTAGTACAGAGATTTGTAGCCCTCAACTTTTTCTAACACTGAACTCAAATACCGAAGGCATAACTGTATGTCTCAAAGCTTTTGGGTATTTGATGTGCTTAAAGATTCACTTTTTGCGATCACACTTGATTTTCTTTCCTGAAAATCTTGCTGCGGGTAGCAATAAGAACGTTTCCATCTAGATATTATGGAGATGGACAAATATGTAGCAGGGTCAATGACACAAACATGAAGAGAGAGTACTGTTGGATGCTATACCGAGATACCAGACAGAGCATACATAAGATGAAGAGCAATATTCACACAGAAGATCAAAATGCATTACAAGATATTTGATTAAACTATTTATAAATTATTATTGATATCTATAATGCCGTGTGAAGTAAAAATTATAAACAATACTACCAAACAACTTTTTTATCAGATATTCTTAATATTTTTTAGGTAAATTTCAAACAACTGAAAACGCCCTTGACGCGTTGTGGAAAATAGATGTGTGATGGGGTGCCGTCTCTGTCGGTTACTTTAAATATTGGTATTGCTTTCATTTTGATCTAAATTAATGGATTTATCTAATAGGAATGTAGTCACAATAAAACCTTATTTACATTGGATTCGTCACCAACTTTTATTTTGAGTAACTTTAACAAAATTTAATTGAGATTTTCTCGGCACTCCGTTGTGCAGTATTGAATGAGCGTGATGACGAAAGGCGAGCGCGCGTGAGGGCTGAGATGAGCTTGTGTGCGCAGGGGGACGTGGAGCTGCTGCAGATCGCGGGGGTGCCCGACGCGGCGTACGAGCTGTGCGAAGGCCCGGCGCCCGACTGCGGGGAGCGGGACCACGCCGCCGACGAGGACGAGGGAGACGGCGACGACGAGGACGACGAAGACGACGACGGCGAGGAGGACGACGGGGACGAGGACGAAGAGGACGAGGAGGAGGAAGAGGACGTTACGGAGAGCAGCTGGCCAGTGGCCACGCCCAAACCGTTTTACACCGCATCATCCCTGGGAGGACACCTCAACGCCTCGCAGGTACTTCTCCATTCCCTCTTATAGCCCTCTCTCCTCGAAATGTTTGCAAATGAAATTGGATTTAGCAATTCATCCTAACCTCTAAACTACAAACGTGACATTTCCAATCGCAATACACAAGAAACTACTCTCAAGTATGATTCTCAATACCATTCATAGCATAACTGGCAAGCAAATATAATATTAAAATTTTAGAGCTAAATTTCTTTTTACTCAAAATACACAATAATTAAATCAATGATAAATATATGATTCTTTTTACATTAGCAAATAAAATGAGAAAATAATGCATAAAATATCTAATAACTCCACTTTAGTCACTCCTTATGGAGTATTTATATTTGTGTTTTATCTGTTTCAATTGAAGGAAGTATTTTAAGGAAGGGTTAATGAATTCGTAATATTTCACTCTTTAAATGTAAATGATTAACCTAACTTCACTAAATGTTATTCAACATTTGAGTCACAAACTCATTTGCGCAAAGATGATTAGCAGTTGAGTGAAATATAGGAGATGGTAGTGTAAAGCGTTATCTAGCAACCACGCACTAAATCACCTAGAACGGTTAGATACAGTTTATTATATACGCAAAACATGGATTTCATTATACAAGTATATTGAAATCCATGTCATCAACATGTTGCATTAAGGGCAAATAGAGTTCGTAGCTTACACGGCCGCCTGATTTGGGAGTAAATTTGATTTATAATGCATGACTTGTACCGAGCAAAGGCTCAAATGTGAATTCATTTACTATACTATTCGATGTTTCTCGCGGTGCAAACACTCAAATATTAACAGTCAAAACTTAATGAAACATGTCAGCCAAATGGGAATTGATGTGCTCTGTGAATGCAGTTGCCAGAGGGCTCTGGTGACGAGAGCTGGCCCCCAGTGGAAGACCCTTACAACGGCGGCGGCGGCTACGTAGAAGTGGCCAGCCACGGAAGCGACGGCTACACTCCGTACCTGCGAGGGCCACCTGGTCCTCGGGGCATCATGGGCCCACCTGGCCCCCCGGGCCCCCCCGGCCCAAAGGGCCAGTCCGGCAGGGACGGCCTCAGCGGCACTCCGGGCATCCCAGGCCCACCCGGACACGTCTTCATGATTCCTGTACGAGCGCACGCCGCTACCAGTATTCAGAATATCTCAGAATTAATGTTCCAGCTAGGATTCTTAGGGGGTCGTAGGTGACCTTTTTCCAATAAACGTATGGTGGAAAGTTTCATAAATTTGGTAGATACATGACATCTTTTCAGTGCATCAGAGCGTTAACTAGCGTCAATATAGGATGTGTTGCCTACCGTTCAGGAACAAATGTCGCATGCGTTACTACGTGTATGTGCAATTTCCCACCACATGTTCTAGGCAAAAAGCGAACATTTTCGACCACCCTATATGCCCTAGAAATTTGTAAAATCTATTCTAAGGCATCCTTTATAAATAAATCCGGGAAAATTCAATAATTGAGAAATATAAGATACAGACTTTATTTGCAAGAATTGTTATAGTAAATGTATCTCCGAAAGACACGGGTTCTTTCAAACGTCTTGGGCACGTAGAGTGGTCGAACATAATCATCTATTGACAATGAACATATAGTGGAAATTGCATGTAATGTACTTACATTTACAGGTCATTTACACATTATTTTCCCAATTGTAAGGCAACGCCCAAAGCACAAGTGTTTGGCAGGTACACAAAATCGCCTTCACTTTGACCCCGAATGTGACATCTCGTACAGTTGTACATTAGGAGTTGCCTAACAATCAGGGTGCAAATGACATACGAAATGTTTCATGTTAATTCAAGAGGCGAATGTCACATGTGAAGTGTGGCACACGTAGTATGAAATTTCGCTCTACATCTTCATTAGCAAAAGTGATGAGATTCGACCCACTACGTGCCTTAGAAGTTCGAAAAATTTATTCTGAGACACCTGTGTATTGCGCCAAATCCAATTTTTAAAAAACGCTGAAATATTGATGGAGAGACGTTTTCGATAATTCTATATTGTGTGGTTATAAAATGTTTGCTCTAATAAAGCAGTTTCCTGTGAAGGTTTTTAACAATTCTGAAAAAAATATTAAAGTATTCGCTATCTTCTTAACAGTGTTGCCATATCGGCGGAATTCCAGCCGTTTCAGCGGATTTTGAACTCGTACGGCGAAAAAAAATTAGTTTCGCGGACAGCGGAATAATCGCCGGAAATTAAGCGGAATTTCAAATCTTCACTATTACGTCCTGGACACATATAGCGTGTTCGCGCAGAAACATTTTAAAATAATATATAATACAGACAATTCAGTTTACATAAGTGCGTCCTTTATTATTATTTTAAAATATTGGTGCTTGAATATGCCAATAACTACGGCTATGACCAAGAATAAGCAATTGGCCTTATCTACTTCATGCATTCATAAGTATTTGTCCTTTTCTATCCGGCATTTCATGCCAGATAAAAAAGACAGTTGCTTATTATTATTAGTCGTAGTCGTGAGTACGTGTGCTGGCCCCTATGGCGTATTTGATTAGCATTCAGAGAATATATTAATAAAGGACAGTCAGTTCACATAAGTGCATCCTTTATCAATATTTTTTTCTGAATGCTTACAGAATACGGCATTAATTTCGTTACATTTTTACGTTTCAAAGCATACAAGAAGTTTTAACAACGGCATTAATTTCGTTACATTTTTACGTTTTCAAAAAATCTTTCTGAACACGCCACCCGAAGGACTAATTATTTGACGAATTGAAAATGGGGAATTATTCTAATATCATTAAAATAGCAGTAAAAACATATTAGTAAAATTCAGGCGGGGGTGGGCGATGTACCCATAATGTTAATTAAAAATCATTAAAAATATTATCGAAAATACAAATACAAAGTATCAAATTTTACAGAGACTTTCTCCGAAATGGTAAGAGGACACATGCGATTAACATTTTATAGCCCTTTATGTACCAAACTTAGCACACTTAGGCTCGACAGAAAACATGCGCGTGACACTTTAACAACAAACACATAACTTTTCTATACATTTAAAGAATTTAAATGTTCAGCTCCACCTACATTTATTTTAACTTCATTGTTAAGTATTATTTTGAAGGAAACTGTCAGGATTTTCGTTATCATTTCGTAAGCTAAAACTGCTACACGTCGGTCAACGCAGATCGTGTTATTATATTGATACAAATAAAAGGTTAGTTAGATTAATTCGATAAAACATTTTTAACCTTAGTTTGTTAGTTTAACAAAATATTTTGGTTGAATTAACAAAAAATTTACAGAAGTTGGCAAAACGTATTTAACAAAATTTGTTTATCAATTTAACAAATCGTTTTTCTGCGTGAAAATAGTTGATCATTTCAAAATGATCGATTTATTGAAATAAACTAAAATATTATCAAATCATGTTGATGTTCTTCTTTTCCAAATAGCCAGTATAGCTCTGAAGAAGTCCACAGCAAGATGGCCGAAACGTCAGTACCATTGACCGAGACGTGGCTCATCCCGGATATAGGTGTAGTGATGTGATACCTTTGGCATTTTTCATAAAATAATTAAAGACGTTGTCATTGCCAACAATATTGTTGGCAATGACAACGTCATCCCGGATAGCCAAGAATGCATTGGGAATCGGCCGTTTAGTCAACTTTTAGATGAATCGAAAGATATATCCACTACGAAATTGCTCGTAATGTCAATCATTTATTTTAGTGAAAAACACGGCAAAATAGTGTCCACATTTTTAAAACTTGCAAAACTTAAAGCAAAATGCAATGCAAATGCTATCGTTGAGGCTGTTAAACAGACGTTAGAGTTGATGAGTTTAGATATAAAACAATTAAGGGGTATAGGCAACGATAATGCGACATTGAAAGAAATTGTCCCGGACTTAATTTTAATTCGACGTATTTGTCACACATTACAACTTGCGGTGTCTCACGCTGTGTCTGATACGTAGCCACGCCACTTGGAATATTTAATATCAGAGACTTACAATTGGTTCTCGTAATCGACTTTAAGACAGTCATCATATCGGCAATTGTTTCAGCTGGTTAACGACTGAGAAGAACCACGACGAATTCCACAAATGTCTGGCACAAGGTGGCTTTCGATAGAACGAGCCCTTAAGCAAGTATGGGATCAATAGATTGAGTTAAAAACTTTTGGTATGGCAGGAAGCAAAGATAAGTGTTTCGCTGCTGAAACTTTGTATAACCTGTACCAAAATGAGTTGAACCTTGCTTATCTGCTGGCAATAAATTCAATTTTGTCAGAAGCCCAGAGAGTGAACAAGATCTTTGAATCTCATACAGTTGATCCAACTAAACTGTTGACGTACTTAAAGACTTTGACACTTTCAATTGCGTGGAAGATTATGTTACCTACATGTAATGTAAATCCTTTGCATTGTGATATAGACGACCACGTAGGCAAAAAAGCATACCTGAATTTTGTTGTGGAGCAAACGTTACAGGAACTCAAACAACAAGGGAAACCTCCGAACGAGGATGAGACATGTTTTCGTGATCGTTGCATTCAGTTTTTATAGTGCTTTTCAAGCAGTTGAAGCAACGCTTACCTGATATTGAATACCCTTAATATTGAAACGTTAGAAACTATGTTTACGTTACCAGTTCAGCGGATTTTCGGCGGAAACTGAAACGAACATGGCGTAATCCCTCTAAAAACACATCTGGCAATACTGTCTCTTAAAGAAATATTTAATCATATACAAATGATATTGTGGGAGAGATAATAACATTAAGTTATTATAATTAAATTGGAATGAGGAATGAAGATTGTGACGATAGCAGCGTTAGATAAATGGACAAATGTAGTTTGACTCTAAATATAAAAATTTGGTCAAACTATTTCTACTTTTTTGTATTTAAATAATATATTAATGAAACACAAATCCCTCAAACATAATTGTAATTTGTTTTATCATTTAGCTGAACATGCCTGGCAACGAGAAAGGACCGGATCATCAAGCTGATCAATTTCGGCAAATGCTCTCACAACACATGGTAAGATGCGCAAATAGCGCGAGTTAAATTACTGCATTACGTACGCATATCTGAATGAAACTTCACTTTCAACGTGAGTTGTTTGTAGATGGCGATGCGTGGACCGGAAGGGCCAATGGGACTCACGGGCGTTCCTGGACCGGAAGGCCCTGTAGGACCGGAAGGTTTGAAAGGGGAACCTGGAGAAATTGGAGAAATGGTAAATATCTATTATTTGGTCAAGTTGCAGAATATATTTAAGAGCTGAAACTGTAATGCTGGTTCAATTCCTAAGCACACACTTTCTGGAACAAAGATCAAGGTAGTACAAATTATTGACCATAAAATATTCGCATTTGAGATCAAATCGAATTTTTGTCAAGTCGATTTATGTGAACTTTAGAAGAAATGATGAATCCGATTTTCGGGTGGTGTTAAGTAAAAAATTAATTGTTTCCTTTCACCTATGAATTTTAAATTGTGCAAAGTGCAACAAATGAAAACGAAGCCAAAGATATAGTTCGTATTATATCATATTCAATCAGTTTTAAAGTATACTATAGTAACATTATATGTCAGATCAGTCATATGGTGCCTGTGATGGGGTAGATCCTAAGAGATCATCTAGACTGCAAAAGGGCAGCTCAAGCAGCATGCAGCTATTGCACTTTCCGCGTGTAATGTGTATGCCTTTCGCTTCCGCAGGGCCCGCGGGGGCTGCGCGGCCCCATGGGGCTGCCTGGGAGGGAAGGAAGGCGCGGGAGGCCCGGACGGGACGGGGAGCGAGGGATGACTGGTCCCATGGGGCCCAAGGGCGAGCAAGGAATACAAGGCCTTCCAGGTAAGCGCTTCAATGTCACTTCAATTTTCATAAGAAACGTGGGTAAGAAGATATTAGAAGATTAGAAAAGTGAAATATATAGAACGTTAACGCAGTCCGGGATGTCTTAGACGTCGTGTCTAGACGTTGGCATATATTCTACATGTTCTATATATTCTATATAAGAAATAGTGTGTACATATTCTATATATCTATAGAATAGTTCTATATATTCTCAGATATTCTATGCAACCGCATGGAATTCAACCATTATCTACTTGACTGTCCGGGAGACGCCTCGCCCTAGGCACAGATGCCGACCGTCATGCTATGACCTTCCTTATGAAAAAATGCCCTGAGTCCAAAAATTCATTTCAAAGGCCACACATACATTTAGTTGCAGCGCCAGGGCCACAGCATAACGTTGGCATCCGTGCCTAGGAGGTTTCCCGAACAACCGCGAAAGCCCATGGTTTCATTTAATTCAACCATTGTGTGGAGAACACTTCTAGCGTCCGGCTATTATGGTCGGTAGTTTTCCGTGGTTTCTCCGCTGAATACCAGGAAAATCCAGAAGCAGACCCCCCTAAGGGGTCATCGTTCACTCCTCATCCTTGTCCTCTCGTATTCCCTTACACACACGTATGCTTACATTTATGTTAATTTCACTGCCACACACACTTGGAAACTGGTCGGAGGCTTAGTGTTTGTGCAGGCTGCGACGGAGCTTCGCTGAGGGAGGGGAAACTCTCACAAGCAGGCCTGTAGGTAGGCACCGAACCTCACACATCGGCGGGGGAGAAGCACTGTCACCTCCCGGGATATCACGCACTCTAAGGTTACGGGGTAAATAACAAACGAGATAAGTGGTTAAGTAGTTGACGCATCCAGAACCAACCCCTACTTCCATTTCCATATCCTGTACCTCGATCATACCACTTTTCCTGCATCGATTGGACGTTTTATTGTTTTACTATAAGAATTTCACTTATTAAGTAAACAAAATTGTCAATCTTGTCTTAATTTACCGTATTATTGTTACCTGTAAACACAAATTATGACGCTGCGTTCGGAAGTCCGATTAAATGAAGTAGGTGACAGTTGCGAGCGGAGGGGAGCGACATTGTCATTTTGCGTACCAGTGAGCACGTGATCGCGGGTCACTAAAACACTTCAAATATAGTTATTTATGTAACATGTCCTATAATATAGGATGTGTTTCTTCCTTTTTTTGTTATTTCTAGTTATTCAAAATAAACATTAAACACTTTCATGAGGATAACTGTCATTACTCACGATGTTCAGTGGCAAAAGTTGTTGGTACAGGGTCTTGGTACCGTTTTTCAATAATATTCGCAGTGCGCGGAAGAAGCAAAAGGACAAAGCGGGAAAGGAGGACGAAGAGGACAAGGGGTCAAAACGGGACAATGGGAACATAATTGCAAAAGGAAGAAAAGGACAAAATGGGGAAAGGGGACAAATTAGTCAATGGGACAGTGGGACAAGTGAGACAAGGGGGAAACGATACAAAATGAGCCAATGGAGCAAATGGAAAGGGGGGACAAATGGAACAAGTGGAATTAATGGGACATAGGGGATAAAATTGACGAAATGGGACGAAAGAAACAAGGGGAACACAGGAACATATTTATCCAAAGATTTATCCAAAGAGTACAGGTAAAATCTAAACCCCAGTGTCCGCTATAATTATTAACGTCAATAAGCCGATAAACACCAAATAACAGACGCGGTTGAAGTTTGTAAACCGAAGAGATAGCCGAGTTATAATCAATCAAGTCTGTTATTTGTGATATCGGCTATGTGTCTTTTAATACTGTTCCTAATCCCATATTCTTAAAAGAAAAAATAATATAAATAAGAAACGCCTTTGCTTTTAATACATAGGAGTGCAATGCCATCTTCACCAAATGAAAACAAGTTGCCTCAGGCGGGACTGTTATGAGAATGCCAAGATTTTATCGTAAGAACATATTAGAATTTTTACCTGAATTAAATAGCTACTTAATAAGTTATTTTAATTTTTGGTATTTTTAGGGTATGTCGACGAGACGACTTGGTGTCATTGACTACTGATGATTTAGAAACCACGAGCAATGGAGTGCTAATTACACTGATTTGCACAGAAAAAAAATAGAATGTTTTAATACCCAAAGACTGTCTTCCATTCAATGACTATATATAAACATATGCAAACATACTTCTATCTATCCTACAAACGAGAGGCTGTTTCGTAGATTATGTAAATAGGAAATGCACTAAAAAGTTTTGGGAATACACACAACAGGGAACACACCCAAAAATATAGCGGAATTGTTAAAATTTTACTCTCTCCAGATCTAAACAAGTAATTATTTTCAACGATTATCGGCCACCATGCTAGTTGTAAACGGTGGCGATCTGCTTTCGTTGAAAGAACATGGAGGTTCGGAGTCCTCGTCAGTAGTAGAAAAACGTATTGCACAAGCGGTGTGAACGTGAATTTAAATTTCTTAACAGTTCTTCAGCACCGACGAGCTTGCAACATCAAGAGATTGAAAAACGTCAGCGTCTTCCACCTCTTGTGAAGGCTAGAAATTAGTAATAATAATTTTTCATTCAATATTCAGGTTTACTATAATGAGAAATTTTAGGTTAAATAATAAGTTAATAAATAGAAGAATAACATATTTGAAGTGAATCATTATTCTCTCACTTTTATAATAATTATTTTTATTGCTCTACTGCCCCGCGTTGGACATGCTATTGAAGTGAATTAAAATTCATTTTATAATCATTAAATTTACAATGTAGTTTACTTACTTCCCTGTATTTACTTTCCCCGATTTATTTATTTTGAGCGTCTTTCATCGTGCTATTGTGGTAATTCACAATTTGCCCCTATAATTTGTCTCAATATTTCTAATTAATTGGAGTCGCTAGCTCTGGTTTTTAGTTGTTTTGGGAGTCAGCATATTTATGCATTCTCAGGGTATTGTTCATTTCTTCGTGGGTTAGAAAACATAGCCCATACGAGTACGAGCGTTCTATGTCCATTTGTTTGCTAACGCTATCAGTATCGTATTGTTTATTAACTTTATTTTACTTTTTCGCATACTTCTTATGCAGAATAAGGCTAAAAACTCTTCGTTCATGTTCGTGAATACACTACACCCCCTATTCAATAAATTCAATACCAGAAAGACATTTAAAGGTTTGAAAAAAATCGACTGCTTGAAACTATTTAATTTTCGCTCCGAATATGCTACAATTTCAAATAAGTTTTACAGAAATGATGACTGAAATGTGTTGATTTAGAAAGAAATTGCGATGAAAACAGTATTACATTACTAATGTGACCAACGTTTGTTCAATGAAATAGACAAAAAATGTATAAAAGTACTACATAAATAAATGAAATATTTTATTAATTCAAACAAAAGTACTCTCATTATGCTTACATCCCTTTTAATTATTTCATTAAACGAATACCTATTTTTCATTGAATAAATCTTTTTTGTCAATACATAATTTTCTAACAATATTTTGGAAATTTAGGAGCCAAAAATATACCTCATATTGTATTTTTTTAAATTTGCTGCAGCTAGAGTTTCAACATTCAATCGCGATTTCTCACTTAATCAACTAGATTAACACATTATCAATAGTTTAGCACATTCGTTTTAAAGTATCGAAAAGGACGACTGGTAGGAGGACACTTTTCGAGGAAGGACAGAACCTATAAAGGAAGAACTGTCCTTCCTAAAGGAGGACGATTGGTCATCTTCACATTACCATTACTAAAGGCGAGAAAGTACGTAGTGTTTTAGCACCAGTAGTTTTTAATAATTTCTCGTAATTGTCTTTGTTGTCCGACTAATATCGCGTTTATTACTATTACATTTTATTTTGCTCTGCTATGCTCCTTAGCTCCCATAATAGTTAACCCTGATTATCAGGGTTAATTTCAGTTTGAGTACTCGTGGATTTTAACATAATACGTTATCTTTTTATACATGGACGTATAGTTCTGTACAAAATTGCAATTCCTGGAAGTTGTTTTTTGCAACCTGTTGTTGAATTGATACCAACCACTATAAATTATCAGCCTTTTCATTTCTAATAATAAAATTTAACATTTATTCTGACACTATTACAAAATTATATTGAACTCATTAATGAAATAATTAACTTTTTCTTAGCACAATCGTTTAGGTCCTCTACGGTTTTGAGTAAAGTTCGTAAGCTTACTGTGATAACTTCTCAGATGTCTTCGGGCTTGATGTCGTTCGTGGGATTTCCTCGTTTGTGTCCCTTCTATCGTGGTATATTCTAACGGACCACGTTTTCCAATATTCCTTGAGTGTTCTAAATTATTCGATGCTTTCATATGACTCAAAAGCTTTAACTAAATAACTTCCCTAGCGCGACATGCCCTGCCTGTACTCGGAAGAAACGCGTGACTATCTCCAGCCCAATCTGTGAAAATCATACCCATCTACGAATATACGTCCCCTCGTTACGAAGTCTATTTTACTTGGAATTCCTAATTACAATGAAGATCAAATTAAGATTTTTTGAAAAAAAAGAGAAATTTTTGCGTTATTTCTGGTTGAAATTAATGAAATAGTTTTTTCAGGTTTTACAGTACACAACGAGCCATAAGAAAAATTGAATGAATGATACGAAAAATAATTAATTTAATTTTAATTATAATTTCGTATTGAAAATCGAATATTAATTCTACTTTTGCTTTCTCGCATTTTTAATTTACTTCATTCAACAATTTGTATTCTCAATGTATTGATGTACGAGTACATGAAGTTGTCGGTCTGCCAAATTTACTGTGTTTTGTTGTAATTCCCGATATTTGGTTGCTTCGTATTTTAGAATGGTATATTTCATATATCTTTGTTTGTTTCTTACATTAGACTTTTGTTATACATTTATACATTAATCTTATAGAAAGTATATTTACAATACTGCTACCTCTTAGAGAATATTAGATTGGAATGCTACAATGACTCGGAAGCTTATCTTTGTGAATTGCGTCATACTGTTGGAACATAATTTATCTGCATGAAAATTATTTATAATTGTCAATTTTGTGTTGTCTGAAAATATTTAGTTTTTGCACTAAATGTTTTACGATTTGTAATGAGTAGGATTGTTCAGAATTTAAATACTTGTATACGAAATATATATTTTCAATTATTCACATTTCATCCACGCCAGTTCAATGTCTGTTTTCCTTTGCAGGTTTTATGTATTCAACTAGGGGTTTATTGCATGATGATTTGCTTGAATATATATATATATATATATATATATATATATATATATATATATATATATATATATATATATATGTATATGTATAAACACAATTGTCGGTTCTTTTAAATTTTTTTAGTAACCTGCCATGCGTTTCTCTTTTTATGGTTTTCTATTTTAATGTAATTTTTGTATTGTTGGATTCTGTGTTCATCTAATGCTGCTTTTACTTAATTTATTTAGCATTCGCTTTAAGTCTGGGCATCTGGATGGTTGCCACTATCATCCTACTTTGTGTTTCTTTTGAATTTGTAAATGCTAATAGGTATGGTTTAGTTTAAATTGAGGTTACATTACTGCTTTTCAATTAATTTTAGTGAAAATATATAAGTCAATCTCTTCTCTATTTTTCAAGAATCGGTTCAGAGGGAGAGCGTTATCAATATTTGTTAGGAATTTTATCCAATCTATATTTTTGTCTCTATTTCATTGGGCCATTTAGTTCATTTCTGAAGTGAGTATTATGGGACAATGGTCAGAGTCTAATTCAGGTAATGAATGTGCATAATGTGTATGAGTTAAATTTTTAATGATGGCAATGTCAAGGATATCTGGTTGAGTGTTACAGCTATTGGGGTAGGGAGTAGGATTTGGAAGATTTAAGTTTGCTGATGCCTTTAGTAACTTTTTCCCGTTCGGAGTATTCACTTTGCAGCCACAATTGATCAGTTTGATATTTAGATATTCCATTACAATGACATGTTCCGCATTGTGTAACATTTACTTCAATTCATTTATATTTATTTGTATTTTAGGTGGTCTATATACTATTATAATATTTAAGTATCCATTTTGTAAGGATATTTTCACTGCAACCAATTCGAGATCATTCAATTTTGGTATAGAAGTTAATGTGTTACTTTTTTATTAGTATAGCTCCCCTGCACATGCTGACATATTTTGTGTTCTCTATAACAATTAAACACAAGTATTTTAAATGTTTTTTCATGTACAAAGTATTTTTGTTACGTGTGATATTGTTATTGATTGGGGTTTTAAAAAGTGGATAAGCACGTTTCTTGTATTTAATAAGCCATTTGCATTCCTGTTTAGGGGTGTTATTGATTTTAGGTTGGTATTTTTATCCGTTTATTATTACATTAGATATTCGGTATGTTACTATGTTTTAAATTTGTGGAATTCTTGTTGCTATTATTTGGTTATTGTTGGCAACATTTGCATTAGAATTTGTGTTACACTTTGTCTCTATTGCATAGGGCCATTTTGAACGATGTTTTGTGCAACTGTTTGTACACATGTGGGGGTGGGTGTTTTTGTTTATTGTTAAATGTCATTTGTGTCTTCTCAAAAATAAGTCTTAATGCACTTATGCCTGTCTTCCTGAATGAGCCATAATTCACGTACTCCTTTCCTCATATTTCTTAATTCAAAGGGTTAATTTGTTTTGAGTGAAATTACGTTGGGATAAGTTATTCTCAAATAAAAATAAGGAGACAGTAAAAAAACAAAAGATATAAAGATTATTTTGACTTTAGGTCTTCCAGGAGAAAAGGGTGACAGGGGCTTGCCTGGTAATCCAGGTGAGCAGGGTTTACCTGGTCACGATGGAATGCAGGGTGAAGAGGGAGCCACGGGTTTGCCCGGACTACCAGGCGAGTTGGTAAGTTTCTGTTGTAGATTTTGAAAAAAAATGTATTTCACGTACTTTGCATTTACTTGTGTACTATCTTATTTACGTTACGGCAAGTTACGATTTTCCGTAAGTTTCAGTTCCCACAGTGAGTCTCAGATATATCTGTTGATATTTAATCCAACATCACCTGGGAAATCTCTGTGAGACATAAGCACAAAGAACAAATATAGATGATCACAAAGGAAACTAGTGATACTACAAAATGGCACAGACTTTCTCGTACTAGTTAGTTCTTTAATTTCTTTAGACTCGGCAACCTTTTCGTTTTGCCCTATCCTCTTGCCAGCTGCCATCTATCTCTGCCCAAACTACATTTCTCCACATTTTCTTTTTTCACATTTTGCGGTCACGTAATGGTAGAACTGAAACATGGAATATCATAGACGATTAAAACCTGGTCGTAGATGGCAATTCTCGTTGAAAAAAATTGTAGCCGCTTTAGAGAAAATTTTCGACTTTTCTGAAAATGCGCAATTTGAGTTACATATTCACCCAAAACTTTTGAGTTTCCGAGAAACTTGTTCAGGAATGATTTCAAGCAATTTTACTCATAAATGAATTATTGTACATAAATTGCTGGTAATGTACATATTAACGGCGTGAAGAATATTACAAAAAATCACATTTCTGTACATTTTGAAACGTGGTGCTAAAACCATTTCTCCTCCGGTTTTTTCACGCAAAATTACGCAGAACGTACATAACTTTTCGAAAATTTGAACCTGGTCATATTTCAAGATCTATCTTTAAGGAAAAGATTTCACTAAGGGAAAAATGACTATCTTGTACGTTTTAGTTGCAGGAAGATTCCGAAAAAAATTTGAACTTTTGCAATTTTCGAAAAATTTGAGAGAAACATTTGAAGCCGTTTTTGAGAATTTTTTATGTTTTGTTACTTGTTAATATTGCACATACTTCACTCAATTTTGCGCGAAAACTACTAACTTTAAAAAAATGTATTTAACGTTGATTGAACTAATTTAAAAGAACATATGTCATTTGAAGGAAAATCAGTATCTTTAATTTTGTAGTTGTAGGAAGACACCGATAAAATTTCAGTCTTTATGAATATTTGTTTGGACATGTAGTCAGAATCCTTAGTACTGGAAAAATTGTTTTTTCCAACGTCTATCTGTCCGATTGTCATCAACACTAGTTCTTAAACCGTTCAGAAGATTTTCTCCAAAACTGATTTCCCTAGATCAACCGGGCCTAACTCGAAGCTCTACGAATTTGAATCGGGTCTTTTGATTTTGAGGGGTCGTTTATATAATGCCCCAACATTTTCTACTTCTTCTCAAAACCAGCCTGGATCCTTTTAATAGCAAAGGTACCTGAAAAAATGTTTTCCATTTTTGTTTAACTCTAAACTTTTGGAAATTGCGTAAGTTCGAACGTTTCAGGTATCTTCCTACAACGATAATTTTAAGTTAATTTTTATTTTTGTTAAGGAATATTTTTTCAAAGATCTTTATAGAAAGTTATGTATTCCCGTAATTCTTCGTGAAATATAGACAAATTTTAAACTATTTTCTCAATACATGTTCCAAATTTTTCTTCAATACTTTATAAAAATGCACAGGGTCAATGAATTCTCTGTAGTTTCGAAAATTGCGTATAACATTGTAAAATACAATTTTGATGATAGTTTTTACTTTCTCGCTACCACTTACAAATTGGAAAGTTATGTAATGCTGGGAAAAAACCGTCGAATTTTTGGCAGAATAACTCTTATTGTCGGGCCCTGATAACGAAAAGTGAATAAATACAAATGCGAAATTTAGGAGGGAATCTTCTAACATGTAGTGTAGGGTTATATGGGTTCTTGATACTCATACGTCCTTCCTTTGTACAACAAAAATATTAAAGGTAGAGATTTTTCCCTTTATAAAATATTTTACATAAAGATAGATTTTGAAAGGAAGTCGTGTACAATATTTCGAAAATATGAGTATTTTTTGTGTAATTGGGCGTCAGACATAGTCGCCCGCTTCGAATTTCTCATAAAAATACGATTTTAATGCAATATGAAAGAAAAATTGCTAATCTTCAGGGAATATATTGAAATGCAACAATGACATTCCACGCCGCGAGACGGCAGCAGATTTTCTGTGAATTACGTCTCTTTCGATTTTTCTGCATCGTTCTCACGATTTTTCTGTATAAAACAGTAAATATTTTCGATTTGTTTTTACATTGGCTTGAAAATATTTAGTTTCCGCACCTAATATTCTACGATTTGTAATGAGTCTTACAAAAAGTACTGACGTGTGTTAATTCGGAGAGAAATTAGGGTACAAGAGTATTACGTAACGTAAGGGCGAGAAAATATATGTAATTTTACTACCACAAATTTTCTTAATGAACTGTTCTAAAAATTATATCTTTAAATAAGACCATGTATGTTTATAATAGAAAACTACTATTTTTGCGGAATTTGTATTAGAAGTAAAGGTAATTTGTAAAAATAGTTTCAAAAAGAGCTCCAATTTTTTTCATTAAATTTTTCCATTATTTAGAACAAAGGTCGCTTAAAAATAGCTCATATCTTATTTTCGTTGTTCACGCTGAATTTTCGAAAATGGGGAATGTTACAAATTATGTGACAAAGTATGTGTAGTAGCACCACTAGTTTTGTTGGGACCAATAGATTCATTCGACAATTCTCTCTTCGCAAAGTATATATTTCCTGAAAGTTTTCGTTTAGTCACAACTTGTTTATGTCGCAGGGTCCAAGAGGATTTCCAGGACCTAGAGGATTCCCAGGACCTTCCGGAACACCTGGAATTCCAGGTGCAGAGGGGCCAATTGGACCCAAGGGGAACTCTGGTCCTCCGGGGCAGCCAGGTCCCCCGGGACAAACGGGCCCTGTCGGTCCCCTTGGGCCCCCTGGGCCTCAAGGTCTGCTAGGTCCTCCAGGATTAACGGTGAGTGATGTAAGGATTCTTATACGTTTAACAAACAACGGCTGAATGTCAGAAGAAGTATTCTCCATCACCCCAAGGGAAGATACAAATATGAAATGAAACCACATAGATCCAGTTGGGGATTATGCTTAATGTGGACTTGCACAATGAGGTTTTGCAGAATCAGTCTGAAAATTAGTAAAATTAAAACATATCCGCGTAGACAACTGAAATGACCAGTTATTCTTTTCTAAACATAACGACAAAACGTTTGATAACGAACTGATTACAATCTCCAATGACCCAATGATCTCAGGCATTCACCAGGAACTCCCAATAGACAAAAGCACCCCTCTTTGTAAGGATGGCACCGCAGCTTTGTAGCGCGTTTGGTTGTAAGTCCGGGGAAGGGGGGCTGACTCAGTTGTACGAAGTGAAACGCAAAAATCCTATACGAAAATACATTTTATTGATATTGTTTGTAACACTAATTTCCTTAGCGACGAATGGAATCTTTTTAAACAACTGAAAACATATCTCAGCAATAGTAATGTGTGTTCCGATTCTTGAAATACATGTGTTTCTTTTTCGAAGGGACCGCAAGGTAAACCAGGTCTTCCTGGTTTGCCCGGAGCTGATGGGACGCCTGGTCATCCAGGAAATCCAGGTCTGCCGGGTTCAAAAGGAGACCCCGGCCCTCCGGGGTCGCAGGGCCCGGTTGGCTTTCCCGGCAACCGAGGAGTCAAGGGGGACGAAGGCAAGCGAGGCAATCCAGGGGATAAAGGCGACAAGGGCGACCGCGGCTCCGATGGCGAGAAAGGAGACATGGGCATGAAAGGAGACAGAGGACCTACTGGTCCTACTGGAATTCCTGGCCTCGAAGGCCCAGAGGGACCTAAGGTACGTGAAAACCTGCTACCCCACTTACTGTTATTGTTGTTACTATTATTATTGTGAGTAGTAGTAGTAGTAGTAGTAGTAGTAGTAGTAGTAGTAGTAGTAGTAGTAGTAGAAGTAGTAATATTACTTTATTTACTACGTACGTAGTGTAGAGAAAATATCATAATTCTGAAGCAAATGATCTAGATTCTTTTACATCAATTTTTTTAACGGTAGTAACAAGTAGATAATTATTGTTTCAATCCATCTGGCACATGTGGCAGTCCCTTGAATTTGAAACGAATATTTTAATTTTGGAGGCGACATTATATGAAACATCATAGACATGTTCAAAAGTTTCGGGAAAATGGCTCCAAATTTTGTCTTTATTTTTCTTCTCGGAAACGGCAAAGTACGCTTATAAAAAGGGCGCAGGGCTGATTTTTGTAAAACTCTCTAAGTTTTAGAAATTTGTAAAATTTTACAAATTGTCTGCGTCTTACTACAACTACAATATTGAATATTTAGAGTTTCATTTCTCACATACTACTTACGATGTACAGAGAAAGTATTTTAATGATGCGGCAAACAATTGCTATTTGTTTCCCACAAAACTCGTGTTGTTGGGCTTGGATATCTCAAAGTGGATAAATATTGTTCTTAGGTGCAGTATATTATTTCTTCTAACGCGTTGCATAGTCAAAAACCACGTTTTGTCTGTCCTTGATAACAAATTGGTTTACGGCAAAATTCTGTGTCCATCAGCAACATTAGCGCCTAAACTATTTGGAGTATAATGATTATTCCTTGATCGATCTGGCACGATACGATGTCCAGCGACTTTGAAAATATTTCTTTAAATTTTGAAAAACTTCACTTAAAAACCCTGGAACATTTAAAAAATTTCAAAAAAAACTTTTCCATTTTTAAAAATTTTAATCCAATGTAGAAATAAAGTGAAATACTTGTACACTTACAAACATAGCATATATCCGATTTTCACTGTTTCCTCTGAATTCTTTGAAATGTCAAAAGTTCGACATTTCTCATTTTACCCATTCTACATTTTTGAAGGAAGATTTTTTCTTCGTATTAAACTTGTTCTTCATATTTTTTTCTTTAATTATTAAATAATTTTCATTTATTTCATTAATGTCATGTACATTTTAAATATAAACAATTTTCGTGTTTTTGTGTGAAATAAGGGCAAATTTAAAAACAATATTTTCTCAAAAACTGTTCCAATTTCTTCTTTAAACTTTTTGTACGGATTGATATAAATAATATGACAAAAACATTTATATATAGTCTTTTCATTTTTCTAGTATTATAATATTAGAAAAATGTGTATTCACAAATGTATTCTTTTGAGATATTTCTCACGTTAATATTTACATAACGGACGTTTCTATTTATCATTGCTTATGTGAGTGTGAGTGCTTTAAATGATTTCCTAAGAAGTTTCTAGAAATCTCAAAATTTTCTGTGAACAGGAGTTCAAAAATATGGACCACTCAAACGTTTTTCCAAAAACGGTTCTAATGTTTTCGGTAAACATTTGTCTATAAAAACAGATTTCCTTAACTTTCTATGATATTCCTAATGTCGTATTTCAATAAAATTATTAGAGGAATGAAAAATTGAGAACATTTGTCAAAATGTATTAAGTGCCGATATGGCAACAGGGAAGAAGATGTGGCGTATTCGAAAAGCGTCCACATTTAAGACTCGTGCGAGTAAGTTTGTGCCATTCTCTAGCACCGTGTACTTTAAACTTAGGACTACGCTTCCGTTTTCGATACTAGTGCTGAAAGCAGTTTTCCAAATTTGAAACGAATAAAGCAATACTTGAAAAACTCACTGGAAGGCAATTGACTCTGAGATCTTGCATTGCTTGGTATCTAATTTAATCTAATATATAAACTAGTGGTGCTAACAGAGCACATACTTTCGACCCTTCGTAATGGTTATGTAATAATACTATACCGCATTTCTGTCTACATCAACACATCTCAGTCGATGAGCGCTGACAACAAAGCGCGCATGCAGCGACGGGCGCTGACAACAAAACGCGCAAGAAGCGATGGGCGCTGCCAACAATGTGCACATATTTCCTTATCAATTCTTCCTAACAGCGCCATTTTCACCATAAATGGAAGTGTTTTTTGTTTTCATTGTTGTGGTTTTATGAAAGTTCATCTAGGGCGTTCTTTACTGTGCTAATGCTATTGCTTATTACATACAAATATTTTGCTATACATACAAATATTTTTCGCCATATCTCGAAGATATTTTAAGTTCACTCTTAATGGTTTTATTTTCTTTTAAATAAATACTTAAAACCAAACACAACCATAGTAAGTCTCTTCATAATTCATTAAAAAATTAAACATTTAGAGATGCCCCAGAGAGCAGTAAAGCAGAAACCCCTCAAAAACGGTTCAATTTTGCAGCCAAGTTCGTACGTTAGTTTTTTAATAAAACATAATAAAATAGTTAGTGAACGAACACTATTATAAACATTTTCCAGCACATCATGTGTGTTTGTGTCTGAGTGTCTGTATGTGTGTGTGTCTGTTTTTGACTGTCTGTGTGTGAGTGTGTCTGTCAGTCTGTCTATGTATCTGCCTATCAGTGACTGTGTCTGTCTGTATTTCTGTCTGTCTGACTGACTGTCTGTGTCTGTATCTGTCTGCGTCTGACTGTGTCTGTCTGTAAGCATATATAAATTGCTAAGTATTTTAACACATCCACTTGCTTAAGAAGTTTATCGTTGAGGTAGATATGAATTATCTCATCTGGTAATTTCCTCTTTTTGGTTATAAGAAGAACTTGCGACTTTAAATCATTGAATTTAATTGGGTTTTTCATTGCCCAAAATTCAATTTTTTTAAGGTTTGCAAAATTGTCCGCATTCATTGTACTATAAAACTTTCTCATAAGCAATAAATCGTCAGGAAAAGTTACAATTTCAATTTCAATTCTGTAAGTAAAATCTAAGGCCAGCCGTGTATTATACAAAATATTCCCAAAACCTGGACAACAACATGATCCTTGGGGGCAGCCCTTTTGAATTTGTTTTTCTATTGTGAGTGCGGTGGTGTGTAGGAAAAGCTTTTCTATTTTGGAAGTAGTCTCGTACAAGATTATAAAAATGTGTAGGACATTTTATTTCCCGTAGATTACTGAGCATGCTTGGCCACAAGGCTGCGTCAAAAGATCCTTTCACATCCATACAAGAACAATTCAGGGATAAAGATTGGAATTTTTCTGGACAAAAATGTTCACCATCATTGCTGCATCTGTCGTACATTTTTGAGGCATATATCCAAATAGGTGGGTACTAAGTAGATTTCTTGAAATTATGTGGTGCAATATTCTACCTATCATTAGCTTTTCCAAGACTTTACCACCTACATTTAACAAACTGATCGGCTTATACTTTCAAACAGGTTTCATTCTTGGAATTCCTCTTTGCATTTCCTCTTTTCAATTTTGTAACAATTACCGATTTCTTCCATTGTGTTAGAAAACATTATGTCTTCAAACAGTATAAATGGCAGTGAAAAACTCGATCTTGATGGATTTTAATATGATGTGAGATATTCTCTATCTTCTCCAGGAGATTTCCTTGGATTGAATTTGGTTATTACAGCAAATCCCGCTTGTTTGTTAAAGGGTGCATCGTCTTGAGTTTGCAAAGGCTCATAAACACGTTTTCTTAATTACTTGTGCTGTTCACAATCATTATGCTCATCATCTTGTACTTATTATCAGCTGTTATCATCTTGATGGTTATCATCAGCTGTGTTATCATCTTGATGGTATTATTAGTGTGGCCTTGCCCTCGTATCTCGAGAGTGTCTGCTTACGAGTGTGTCTGCCTCTCGTCTCGGTCTCTCGTCTTAGTCTCTTGTCTCGGTCTCTCGTCTCGGATTCTCGTCTCGGTTGCTCGTCTCGGTTTCTCGTCTCGGTTGCTCGTCTCGGTCTTTCGTCTCGGTCTCTCGTGTCGGTCTCTCGTCTTAGTCTCTTGTCTCGGTCTGTTTGTTTGTGTTCGTCGGTTGGTCGGTCGGTGTGTCTCCGTCCGCCTGTCCGTCCGTCCGCCTATACGTCCGTTCGTCTTCCCGTCCGTCCTACCGTTCGTTTTTCTGCCCGTCCGTTTGCCCGCCCCTCCGTCCGTCTGACCGTTCTTCCACCCTTCCCTCCGTCTGTCTGCCCGTCCCTCCGCCTGCCCATCCCTCCACCCGCCCGTCCGTCCGTCTGACCGACCGTCCGAGTGCCCGTCCATCCGTCTGCTTGCCCATCTGTCCGTGGTCAACGTCAGTTTGTGGTAAGTCAGTTTATTCTGTGCTCAATGCTAGCGACTGAACGTCCTGCAGTCGATTTTGTCCATTTTTCATTTTACATTTTCTCATACAGCGAGGCTAGCGCGTTCTAAGAGAACTGCAACTTAGCACGCACAGTACTAACAGTTACGTACAGGAGAACGTGGACACTTCTATTGGAGACTCAATAATGAATAACTTTTGTATGCGATGAAAATAGGCAAATAGGGATATAGGTTACAAAGACAGGTGATGTTTCATTGTCAAAATATGAGTAGTTTTGTATAATTTTGTGCAAAATACAGGAAATTATTAATTTCTTAACAATTCTTTTCTCAAACACCCCTCCGAATTTTTTCATTAAATGTATTCCTCCTATACGGTAAGGACGGTAAGAAAAATGTTAGTCTAATTTTCGGCAAAATCTCTGTATTTTCAAAAATTGAAAAAAAATACATTTTAAAACTACAAAATTGAAGTTAGAATTGTTTGCCTTAAAGTCTGGTCTCTAACTCGGTCCGAGTTCAGTACCCACATCATTTCTATAGCGTAGTGGTAAAGCACACGGTGAGTTAACTCGGGGGACCTGAGTTCGAGTGCGGAAGAACATTTTTGCTGGTTGAAAACTCTTTTGCAGGATTAGTAATATCATATAATGGAGCATTTAGAAAGAATGCTGGTATGTGCTGTAGCACCGCTAATCAGTCTTACAAGGCCATTATTCAATGCATAATGAATTTTCGCCATGAAACTCAACACCTCCATATTTGTAAGTTTTTAATTCAAAAAATATTAGCTCCGACAATCCAGTTAATTTTATTAATTTCAGGGGTTCGAAGGGCCGCGGGGAGAAGCTGGTCCTCCTGGTCAACATGGAGAAAAGGGCAAGTTGGGCATCCCCGGTTTCGCTGGCTACCCCGGCCCTCCGGGAGAAAAAGGTGACAAGGGCTCTGAAGGAAAGCATGGCCAAACAGGAGATAAGGGTGACCGTGTAAGTGATTTTGGCCTCGTTGGTGTACAACGAAAATGTGAAATACTTTCAGTTACTATCAAAATCAAAACATTTGTGACCGATATGTTCTATTTCAGGGAAACACAGGGCAGCCAGGAGAGCGAGGGGAAGTAGGACCCAGGGTGAGCAATGTTGAATCATATAATAATGATAATAAAGTGTTTAACGGATTCTAATTGAAAATTTTGTGTAGGGTTTCCGAGGATCGCGAGGCAGAAGAGGTCTTGAAGGAGTTCCTGGGCCGAAGGTAATTTTCATACAAATTCTACTAAAGAAGCCCTTCATTCAGTAAGTTTGACGCGTATCGCTCTGCTGACGAGGAACGGGCCAGTTTTTTCAGATCCTTCCTAAGCATTCTAAGAAAATTCTTAAACTAGTGTGTTTCGGGGAAGGGGTTGAGCAACTAAAACCCCTTTTGAGTTGCATAGTAGTTTTCAAAGCATGTGGAGGTCAGCTACAGCTCGTTCAAGTGCCCTTGACAAGACAAACTGATTCGCATTTTTAAATGGATTATTTTGCAAAGTTCCATAAGTAATAGATAACGTGTTGTGGGGAGCAATTTAGACAAACATCTGATGAAATGCTGAATTGCTTCACTGCCTTTTCAGCGTAACATGAATCTTTACTAGTTGATTCATCTGACAGTAACTGAACCTAACTTTATAAAAAAACACATTTTTATAGTATTTATACCGTTACATTCTCATGCAACTTTGTGCCGATAATGGACGGCCTCATTAATTGTATTATATTTACAATGTTTCTTTAGTAAGAACTTACAAAACACAAAAATGTTTTAACGTGAAAATATCTATCGAAGACCTTACGGTAAGCTAGTATATAAATATAGCATTAATTTTTAGTATGTCTGGATTTGTAGGGCGATACAGGTCAGCCCGGGCCTCCCGGAGCGCAAGGAGAGAACGGTCCACAAGGACCAGAAGGGCCTAGAGGTTTCACTGGACCGCAAGGACCGCCGGGCAACAACGGCAAAGACGGTATTCCAGGCCCGCCTGGTGAGAGGGGACCCCCGGTAAGCAACCTTTCATAACAATCTGTCGCTCTTTTTAACCCGAATGAAACCAACAGGTGTTTCGTTATAGGGAGAGCCTGGGCCTCCGGGTCCGGCAGGTGCTCCTGGAGTAGTAGGTCCGCCAGGCCCTAACGGCGAACCAGGCCCTGTGGGAGAACCAGGAACACCAGGCCATCCTGGACTCCCAGGAGAGTCTGGAAGACCGGGAGATTCTGGCAAGGAAGGTCCGCCTGGGCCCGCGGGTCCCCAGGGGAAGCCGGGGCCTCCAGGCGGCCCCGGTCTGCCTGGATTTCCAGGAGAGAGAGGAGCAACTGGACTTCCTGTAAGTATCTTCTCTCAGCCCCCGTTTTATCTTCTTGCTCAGGTTTTGGGCTCTCTTACCTCCTGATTTTCTTTTTTCAAGTCTCAATAGGAATGGAAAATTTCAAGTGTGTCCCCACCATGATATTGCATTACAGCACAAAAGCGAAGACTGGGTTGATTTCACAATCAAGTGATAAAGAATACTTTGTTTGTGTGTTTTAAATTTTAGATGTGCCTAGTCGTTTTTGTACACTTCTTTTACAGTGAAAAGGTTTTGTACGTATAAGTCCCTACATTTTTATTAATTTTTGTGTTTCAACTTACAAAGTCAAAAGATGAAGCTTTTTCTACGAGATTTCTACATTTTATACGATACTTCTTTGATTATGATTTACTTGAAAATTCGAAGTACTACATTCAATACGCTTCCATGAAATATTTTCATTAAAATTCTTTTGTTTCTAGATAATTTCTACTGCAACTTTATCAATTATATCATTAAATTTACTTTCAATTATTATTTATTCTTTCATTCATCGAATGGATGAGGCTCTTCAACTATTGAGTTAATGAGTGATCTAATGCATTTATGATAGTGATAAAGATAATGGCGCAGTGATTGAATAAGAGGCAAAGGAAATGAACCACGAGAAAACTTGCTAAGATGCACTAGCTTTCTCCACCACAAAATCTACATAGGTTGGCGTTGGATCAAACTAGCTCCTGCTGTGGAATGTGTTCGCACTATCCATTACGACACAAGCCCTCTCCCCAATTGCTTTCAAGATAAATTAAGTAAATACATGGGATCATCTAGATAACAGTTACAATACACCCTGCTGCATTTTTAATTTATTACATTGAAGCTATATTAAGCTGACTCTATGAGTCTGCATTATTTAAAAAATACATTTTGTAGATGAAAAACTGAGTTTTATTACAACAAATATTATTAACAGGGAATGCCTGGACTTAAAGGTGACATGGGTCCGCTCGGTCCACCTGGTCCCAGTGGGGACAAAGGTCAACAGGGAGATCCGGGAAAAGAAGGTCCTCCGGGTCCGGAAGGGAGGAAGGGGCCGCCTGGACCACCCGGAGCGTCTGGGGCCAAAGGCGAGAGAGTGAGTAAACTCGACTTGATCACTACCTGAATCACAATAATATCTCACTAGCGGTAAAGTAGATCCTATCTCTTAGGGGGAACCAGGCCTGCCAGGCTCAATGGGAAGAGACGGACTGCCGGGGCAGAGAGGTCTGCCAGGACCACCCGGACCAATGGGCCCACCGGGAGAAGACGGAGACAAGGGAGATCCCGGGCCGCCTGGCGAGAAAGGCTTCAAAGGATCTCGGGGAGAAACGGTAAGTCGCGTTTTCTCACTGATGACGTTGCTTTAGTTTTCGGGCACGAATAAAACTAGCACCCATTCGGTAACAGGGTCCACCTGGTCCGCCAGGAACGCAAGGGCTGCGCGGAGAGCCTGGAGCGGTAGGGCCCGCAGGAGAGAAGGGCCCGCCCGGGGAAATGGGTCGCCAAGGTCCTAAGGGTGAAGACGGCCCTCCTGGTGTAGCAGGTCCTCCTGGCGCCCCTGGCCAGCAAGGATTGCCAGGTGTTCCCGGCGTCAAGGGAGAAATAGGAGACGTTGGACCAAGAGGTACCTACAGTAAATGAATAATCATTAAAATATTAGACTCGTGTCACGTTTGGATGCACAATAGCTTTCAGTTGATAATCATTGATGACATGACTAGCATTTCATATTACTCTTAACAGGTCCCGAAGGTCCAGCTGGTCAACCAGGGGAGCCCGGCCCGCGAGGCAGTAAGGGCGGAGAAGGAATGCCGGGCCCCCCAGGTCCTGAAGGACTACAGGGTGCCAAAGGAGACCCGGGAAATCCAGGACCTCCGGGGCCCACTGGTATCGATGGCAAACATGTAAGATAATAAAGAATTTTTTCAGGTTGAATTTCATTTAAAATTTCCATTTATGAAGTTTTCTACGTAAAAATTGTAAGTTACATACTGCTTGCAAAGTTGAATATATTACGATACATATTTATTCAATCTGAGGCTTCAAAAATTATTAAGAAAAGAATGACACTTATTTTTACAGTGTACAGCATTTGATCAAAACGATGCCGTGAAAAAGAATGGTTCAAAGGATGAAAATTAACCTTTGCTAAAATACGCAAAGACGGGAAAATTTCGTAGAAACAATAAGTCAGTAAATAAAATTATTTATTTTGGAGATCCTAATAAGTTTCATAGATTTATTTATCTCATTAATATTTATCATTTTATAGGAAAATGCAATAAATATGTATATCAAATATATCACTTCTGAAGACCGATGAATGATTGGTCCGCCGAGCATAATTCATTACCAAAAAAACTATTTAATATTTTGAAACATTCCATGAAAACGGACTGAAACTCAATGATTGAAATCTGACGAAAAATCTCGGCAAAGCATTAGAATAATTTCCCAATGTGTTTTATACGCTTATCATCTGCATTGCAGGGCGAAAGAGGTCCTCCGGGACCCAAAGGAGAAGAAGGGAAATCGGGAATCCAGGGCCCTCCGGGGCCGCGAGGGCCCGTGGGTCCCGAGGGCCCGAAGGGCAGTCCAGGGCCTCCTGGATTCCCGGGCATAGCTGGCGAGCCGGGCTTGGTGGGAGCGAAGGGCGAGCCCGGGAAGGACGGCGAAGACGGGCGCTCAGGTGACCCCGGCCCCCCCGGGGAGGCTGGGCCGCCGGGCAAAATGGGACTCATAGGACCCCCTGGCAAGCCGGTATGTAACCAGGCACTCCAAACCACTCTAAACCAAACCATTCCACTATGATGCACTTCGTATTTTTGTTTTGTTCACGTTTCTCAATTAGTATATTCTTCTTGAAATTCATTGCTAAGTAATATAGAAGAGTGAAAGGTTCCGTTATAAATGTGAGCTACCACTCAAAAATATTCCTGTTACATTAAAGCTGTCATTTATTTTTATAAGTATTCCTGTTCAGAATAGAGAATTATCCAAAATTATTAATACGAAATGTTTATGTCCTGTTTTGCAGAATACAGAAAATCATTTAGACTACATTGACTTTTTTTTATTTTACCAACATGTATTAGATTTTTTATATTGGTAAGAAATATGATTTTTTTTAAACTCTGATTAACATATCCTATAATTTTAGTATAATTTAATATTTGCAAACTTAGTTAACAATCTGCTTAAAAAATGAAAGCTACTTAAAACACTTCAAAAATTTGTTCCATGAAATTGTGTTTTCTTTTGATGCCAGCTTGCTTTGTACATGTGACTCATTTAAGTTTTTATTTATTTATTTAATTACCCACAACAGAGCAAAGCCCCAATAACAGTAGACATAACAAGAAAAAACAGAAAAGAAAATCATTAAATTTGAATGAAATCACCAAAATAAATCACAGAAATCCAATCACAAGAATATCAATTTTTACAAAAATTGATTAAACATAACACATTAGTAAGATTTAAAAAATGGAAACATAATCTCTTCAAAACAGTCATTACAAAAGAAAGTATTACAAAAATGAGCGTTCAATGATAATATTACAAAAATGAAAAACGCATTTTCAAAATAATCTGAACCTAATAGCGAGCAATACTTAATATAATATATTCACATTAGTCATCTTTCAGTATTTTATTTAAATTTTGTTTATATCTTGGAAAAGAAAATTTGAAGTCTAAATTCCACACTCTATTCAATTTGAATTTAGAAGACATTCTCAAAAGTGGTGAATGTTTGTCCGATGTTGTATTTGGTTTGTTAAAATATAATAATTCTCGTTTTCTTAAATTTGGTACTCTTGCATTAAATGACTATTATGACAGCAATTCACTGTTTTTCGATAGGCCATTGACTATTTTAAATAGAAACAATTGTTCAACAAAGACTCTATTTCTACGCCTAGCAGGCAAGATTAGTTTGATTGAATTCTTTATCTAAAACATTATAATAAATTTCATAAGCTGATTCCTTAAACTTTTTGTAAAATAAATACCTGAAGAATTTGAGGTATTTAAAAACCCAAGTTTTTTCATTTTTTCAATTTGATTACTTGGTGATATGTAACAAGGAGACCAAATAACTAATGCATATTCCAATTTGGCACGCACAAGACAATTAAAGAGAAGTATTTAACTTGAAGTGACATTGAAATTCTTGGAATTTCGAATAATAACAGCATCATTTGATTTTTTAATTCATAATTTATTATATTAAATATATATTGATGGCTAAGTCATTTACAAAATATATATGTCCTAATGATTCATTGAGTAACTTGTTTCTAGATATGCTTTATTTCTTATACAAGAAACATTTTTTTTAATATTAAAGTATAAATAATTCTCCATGCTTCATCTGTAGACGTTATTAATACTAGCTTGCAATTTATTTGAATCATTTACATTTTCAATTGACTAATAAAATTTCAAATCACCAGCTAAAAGTGAACATTTTAAATTACACTAGGCAAATCATAAATATTAATTATAAAAGTATTATGAAGGTTCTTTTACACTATGTGGTCGATTGATTGATTTCCTCGTGTTTTCGACCCGCCAACTGCTGGTCGTTGTTTCCGTTAGTGTAGTAAATGTTTTTATCTGAGAAGCAAACTGTGTTCCTCCTCCCGTCGATCAAATCTGAGATCCGGCGGCGACCTACACGTCAGCTTGCTGTATTTTCCTCTCCAAGTATCTCCCCTAGCGAATAACAACCTCAACCGGACCTTATACGTATATGTAAATGTGTAAAGGGGGAGGATAGGACAAGGAAGAGGAAGGACAGATAGCGAGGTTCGTGGCCTGATAAGGAACTGCTCCCATAGACCTACTCGTCTGGTATTGACCGGAGAAACCGAAAAAATCTATCTTTCAGAGCAGCTGGCATCTAGAGCTCTCCTCCATCCAGCAGCTGAATTCCTTATCTATTTAGTTAGTCGAAAATCCGTCACTCGGGACTCAAAACCTACGATCTCTCGGCGAGAGTCACTGCAGAAGCAACGGCAATGGCTCTTAGCTAAAAACAGCTTGTCTGCTTGGTCAAAAATGAAAAATGGTTTGATTTAGAAGTCTGATTCGCGTCCTCCTTCACACATGCATTCGGTAAATGGTCGGTATAAATGGCTGGTGAAAAAGTAGAATCCCAAAAACTATTATTTTGTTAATGTTTATTTTGCAGGGTTCCGAAGGGGCTGCTGGAATGCAAGGGAGCACTGGGATGCCCGGAGAAAAAGGTGACCGTGGACAGGCAGGCCCACCTGGGTTGCAGGGACCCATGGGGCCTCAAGGCCCGCCGGGCACGACTGGACCGCCAGGCCAAAGAGGATCGCCTGGGGTGGCGGTACGTCTTTCTTCATACAACATCCTTCTTCAACACTTCGTCAACACGTAACACCCCCTACGTATCTACTGTATATTTATGAACTCGTTGGTGCTATATCATTGTTCTAACTTCTACCTCCTCTCACAAATTTAAAATGATTTTCAGTTTATGTCATTTATGTGACTAAATGTTCAGTTTATTGCATTAAGATAATATACTGAGTATATAAATTGCATAAGATTATAGCCCTATTATTTGTGTTACCGTCATGAAATTAATTAGTCGTTTTACTTTCTAGTAAACTAGTTTATACTGGCTGCCTGTCTATCAACAACTCTAGCACCTAAACCGTGCACAGTATTTACTCCAAAATTAATTTTCTTCCATCAAACCCTTAAATCAACCCCTTAGAACAGATTTAAAATTTTCTTGTAAATGGCTCCAATTTTTTGTTTACATTTTTTGCTACATTTCAGCAAAGTATTCTTACAAACATTGTAAAAGTCCGATTGTCATTAAACTCTCTGAATTTTCAAAAGCTACCATTGTTTTACCCTCTCTTACATTAAAAAGTAAGAAATGTTTTTTTAATAATTTTGTAAAAATATTTTTTTAAATTAAATCTTTAAATGGTCTCATCTAAAATTGTTTAAAATGCGAGTCATTTTCGCGTAATTTTGAGTGAAATCACAATTTTTCAAAAATAAAAAAACAATATTTCCTCATAAACAACTCCAATTTTTGTGTTTTTTTGCTCGAATATAACAAAATGCGCTTTGAAATATTGTATACGTCCTACTTTCATTCAAAACTTTGAAATCTCGAAAATCGCAAATGTTCAACTCTTTTGGAACTTGTCCTTCAAGTTTGAAACAAGAGATTAATTTCTTATAGCAAAATTATATCTTCAAATCGTTTCAGCTACTTAACATTATTTTGAATTACATCGTGACAATTTTCCAAAAATACCTGAACAAGATTTTCTGAAAACGGCTCCAATTATTTTCTTTAAATTTAAATTAAAGTAAATGCAATGTATTGCTTGTATACATTTTTTTCTCAAACGCATTTTCATTAAAAGTTTTGAATTTCCAAAAATTAAACAAGTCATATTTTCAAACATCTCTCGTGTAAATATTACAGGAAAGATGTATTTTATAATTTAGTCCATTTTTTGGACTAAATACTTCGAAAGTTTATCGAAATCTCAAAAGTTTTTGAATGTAAAAAAATATTTTTCTTTGTAGGATAACTATAACTAAACTAATAAGAGGATTGGTTGTAACGATTCGAGACACCAGTTTTTCAAAGCTGATGCCTAGTCGCGCAACATTCCTCCCTTAAATTGTTCCGACGAATCGATCGAATAAATTTTGTTTCAATCCCATTTTCATTTTAACCTCTGAAATTTCGAAAATTGGAAATACAAATCTTCCGTGCTTACTTGCTTAAGGGAGTATTCCAAAAGATAGAAGAACTAGTAGGTTACAAGTTGCAATATAATATAATGTAACAGCAAGGCAGGCATGATTTAATATTATCTAGGGTATTCGGGACGAGCCGCGTCACTGAAATGATGGCTAACGTTTCAGCCAGCCTATTGTGACCTTCCTCAGAGCGTCAGCAGTAATTTCTGAGGAAGATCACAATACGCTGGCCGAAATGTTAGCCACAATGTCAGTGACGCGGCTCGTCCCGGATAGCCTAGATAATACGAACTCCGGCCGCGGAAGCCTACGTAACCAGGTATGATTTAAATAAAATTATTTTTGAATCAATATTTCTTATTTATAATATTTAAAAATATATCAGTATTTTAACTATTTGTAAAATAAAAATTACTTAGATAAGACTCAAATCAATTACAAAGTTGATAAAAGAATATATTTCTCACGAAATTTTTCACGTAATTGAACAATTTTCAGAAAACCAAATTTAATATAATATACACGATACTTGTCATGAAGTTCCTCCGAAAGGCGAGAAAATAAAAATGATTATTCTTGTGAAACTAAAAACAATAAAAAAAATTGAAGTAGTTATATCTGATAGACCTAAATGATCGATTATTTTTATCCAGTATTTAATTGAGCCAGTATTAGAAAAAACTAGTTTAGCAGTAATACCGTCCTAACACTCACGAGCTAGTTTCGAGAAAACCGTATTTAAAGTTTCCCCGGTGTCCATAACTCTACATTTGTATTAAAATGTTTGCTGAAACCACTTTAAGTAAATCTTAAAGACGATGCGTATTAATAAAAATTGAATTTTATTAGTACTCATTTGAAAAACAATATTAATATTTGAAAAATTAATGAAAATAGTACTTAATCGTACTAGTGTTAATAATATTAACCTTTTTCTTTATGTGTATATTGATAACATTCTATTTTAAGTAGAAGCATACTTCCCATTGACCGTTAAAGGGTTGGAAAGTGCGCACGTAACAACCATTACACCCCACATTTTTCAAAACCAAAACAACTATTAAAATGAATTTAATATACAAAAACTGTTTAACATTATTATAAGTTTTTCGATGAATTCAGTTGCTATCAACAATAAGTGCTTTTCGATTAGGGCTGTATTACACAAAAAATGGTAACATTTCTTTGAATGGAGAATGCCTTTTTTCAAAATCATGTTCATAGAAGGTGCCACAAGCTTATTTGGTAATGTGGACGCAAGAGAAGTGTTTCAAGAGCATGGGACTACAAATAATTCAAATTTAAAGATATTGTGGTATCATCGCGGTATGTCATTATTTTGTTTAATAATATTAAAATAATTTAATAATAAATTTAAGCACTGGTGTTTTAATACACTTTTTCTTCTTTTAAAGTAATGAATAAATACATCACTTATCGATTTTGGTTTAAAGTGAAAACGTTAATACTATTTAAAGAATCTTATTTAAATAAAAAACTGATTTAAATGAAAAATCTGATTTAAATAATTGATTTTTTATTTATAATTTCTTTCTTATAATTTTTTCCAGCCTTATGTAACATTTAAAAATAATTCGAGGAAGGGTGTAGCGTTCAAGTACCACTAGTATCTACTTTGTTTTTCTCCTCAATAATGAAGTTAAAGTCACTTTCAGCTGCAATTTGAAAAAAGAAAAGGAAAACAACAGTTTCCGTTGGCGTGGTTTAATGAACATTGAGAATTTTTATGCTTAAAGTAAAATGAAAAAGGAAAATAATTCTTCTACACGCTCCATATTTAGTTTTATATAGGATTTGACACATGTCAGTTCGCGGGAAAGGGTATGGCCAAGTTGCCTGTTGCACTACTGTAATTACAATTATTGACTTCTCATTCATATTTTAAAAGTTATCATGAAATCGTAAAGACGTATTGCAATGTTATGGTTTATAATTCTTAAACCATTATTAGTACTTAAAGTTATTACTTGAGTAAGAATTTCGACTTTAAAGACACCTCCATAAATTTGTTACAAGACGCTGCGCTGATTGGTTTCAGGCTTGACAACGCACCACAATTAGGTATTCATACCGCGCCCCGAAAAAACTGAAATCGTATGATACAGCCCTAAACGTCACTTTCCGGAATTTTTAGTATCAATTAGGAAAACTTATTTTCATGCTCATCAGTTTCCATACCACTGAATATGCACATATACGAAAAGACTTAAGTTACAATGCAACAGCATATTTATAAACTTAAAATGACCTCACACATGCACTGTACTTATTCATAATAGTCCCTTTTATAACGACGCCTTCTTTTCAGGGAGATGTCGGGCCACCTGGAAAATCAGGAGGGGAAGGACAGCCTGGCAAGACTGGTGAGACCGGTCCCAAGGGACCGAAGGGCGACAGAGGCCGCCGAGGTCCTAAAGGCCACAGAGGAGACCTTGGCATGACGGGGCCCAAAGGAGACCAGGGAGAGAAGGGAGAAAGGGGCATGAAGGGACCTCAAGGTCCCGACGGCCCAAAAGGCAACCCGGTAATTTAATTTTCGGTTTAATGCAGCTGCGCAATTCCCGGGATTTTCGTTACAAGATGGTAACGCTACAAGTAACGGTAACGCAACACAATGGTAACGCTACGTTACAAGATATCATCAGTTTTTTACCTCCTTTTAATTTCTTATTTACCCTTCCTATAAATTTTCACCATTATTTTTT